CTCTCTCTCTCTCTCTCTCACACACACACACACACACACACACACACACACACACACACACACACACACACACACACACACGCACACACACACATGTGCTCCCAATACTTCAGGCGCTCATCCTTACTGCTCGCTGTCTCTCTCTTCCTCTCTCTCTTTACTGCTCGCCGTCTCTCTCTCCCTCTCTCTCAATCTTGGGGCACTTACTCTCACTTTTCCTGAATACACTCACCTCACTGCCTACTTTGTCTCTCCCCCCTTACCCTGCTTCGTCCTTGCAGCTATGGCTGCCATCTTTTTCCTTGTCAACCCTATGGCGCTGGTCATCCCTCTCCTGCGCCAGCTCCCCCACTGTCCAACCCGAATGGTCGCACAAGCGCTACAGCAGAGCTCCTGCAACATGGGAATTGACAAGTGACCCTGGAAGCACTGTGGCAACTATAAATAGAAGCTGAAGTGAATCATTATCCGCTCGGGCCGATACCAGTCGATGCTGCCTGTCGGCTGCAATTTGCGAATTCCGGAACTTACCGGGACATTCCCAGGATGCTGCTACAAAATTGGACTTCGGGACTGCAGACTCTTCAGTCGGGTACCGGGCCTATGACTTCTAACGACCTGAACTAGTGGACCCTATGACCGACCTACAATTTTTTGACACCTGGGCGCTACTGGACCCTGAGGACCTTGGACCTGGGACCTACTCAGACAAACTGGGACTGGGCCCAGGTGGGGCTCTGGGACCAGGACTCGGGACAGGGACAACGCATGTCTCTTGTGATGGTGTATGGTTTTGGAGGAGAGAGCGAGCTCAAATCCTGAATGGTACACAAATGTAGCTGTTTACAAATAGGCCACGAGTTGAAGTGTCCTGAATGGTGAAAAACGAGGACTTGCCTCTGTGGATTCACGCAGAGCTGTCGAGACTGTTCAAATTCTGAATGGTACAAAAATCCCCTCCCGAATCTGCCTTTCTGCCCCTTCTACTTGCGTTCTAGTGTTCCCTTGTTAGAAAGTTATCGAGCCACTGTGATGGGTGGAGAGGTACGGAAGGGTTAAAACCCCGTGGACCATCCCTGGTGTGCATGAAGCATGGCCCAGACAGGCAGGTAAAGATTCCGAGTTTAAAATGAGTAGTCCAGAAGTGACCGGGGCTAAAACTTCTCTGTGTATAAAGGTTATCAAACCCTGAAGGTTGGGGGGGGGGGGAGAGAGAGAGAGAGAGAGAGAGAGAGAGAGAGAGAGAGAGAGAGAGAGAGAGAGAGAGAGAGAGAGAGAGAGAGGGTTGGCCCCACCATGAAGGCATCGCCGGTCATAACGCTTTTGCAAGCGAAGCTGCAACAGGTCATCTAGTTTTCTATTATATTGTCCATCTATACTTTTT